TATTTCATAGAAATATTGCTCTTCTTACTTTCTTACGGTACTCAGCAATGGCAGCCATGTTTGGCTTTATCTGTCTAAGCCTCTCTTCTTCAACAGTTATTTCATAAGACGCTGTATCCTTGTCAATACTCTCAAGTTGTTCAGGGGTTAAGGTGGGTAGGGTGGATTCCTCTTGTTGATCAGACAAACCAATTGATTGAAGGCACAGCTTACTTAACTACATGGGGAAAAATCGATTTATAATTATGGCAATAAACAGTCTCCTTTCAGCCATTCTATTTAGGACTGCAATGCACTGAAAAAAATCCAACTTTACCTCTTTTTTCCAATGTTTAACTTTCTGCTGGTTCTCTTTCAAGATACCGTCAAACTTCTCCACCTCATGCTTTATGTCAACTTCTTTCTCTCGTAATRCCTGCTCTTTAGCCTCTACAGCAGCATATTCATTCACACTTTTTTTAAGCACTTGCTCTATTTCTTTCAATTGTTTCTTTGAGATATAGACAATACACAAAACATTACTTTAAAATGAATATACAGCCAATACAGTTTACATGTATTGTTCAACAAAGTCACCTGCATATCATATTTTTAACTCTTTCCAAAAATATTCAACATGAAGTTGGCAAAAAAAATCATAACATTGGACAATAACATTGACAACATTGTCAATAACATTGTCAATGTTATTGACATTGACAATGACATTAACATTGTGGGAAACTGAAAAAGATCTGTGAACCTCGGCTAATTATTGGTTTATGTTTGTGATCGTTAAGGACCGTTTACACTTGTGATTTTTGCAGAGTGATTATCGCAGCGATGGTCGCACGACCATCTTCTGAGTTTTAAACATGCTTGAAAATTGGCTGCAACTTCGCAGGGATTTTCTATTGCYGCAACACCACAGGGCGGTTTACATGTACGATTTTAGTTGCCACTTTTATTATCCACTCCATTCGTTCACTTATCAATTAATTTCCTATTAAATCTTGATTACCTCTGCATTAACTTGAGCATCCTGAACCTTTAGTGCTTTTTGCTCAAGAGTTTGAAGCTCCTCCTTCATGTTCTTGATTTTTTCATTAGTTTCTTCTATTTCTTTCTCCAAAGACTCTACTTTGTCCTCAGTYTTCTTCATATTCCTTTGTGCTGTCTTGATGCCAACATTTGCTTTAGTTATCTGACCTTGGACCTCATCTATAGCTTTGACTGCTGTATCTAAACGTGCCTGTATAATGATGCCATAGAAGTATTATCAAAAATTCAAAGAAAGGATATTAAACAAATAATATATTGAATGACAGATCATGATAAAGTATGAATAAAATGCATCTGCTGTCCATTAAAAAAAAACGATATCAAGCAAAAATAATGAACATAATATATTGAAAATTGGAAATGGAGAACAGATAAAATAATGAATAACTTGTACCTGCTGTCCCTTCATTTTTGCCCCACCAATGTCCATAATCTTCTTRTTCAAAGCCTGCACTTCATTCTCTATCTTGGACGCTGCKGTGTTTGCCTTATTCCATTCYTTTTGGAATTTCTCAACAGCAGTCTCGAGTTCTTTGAGTTTTGCTTTATCAGGYGTTCTMTTCTCAGCTTCTTTCTTCAAGCGAGTAATCTGTTCATTTAAGGTCACTTCTTGTTCTTTTAGTGCAGCAACATCCATCTTATCCTTACGTAATTGAAGCTCCATTGCAGATATCTTCTTCTTGAGTTGACTTAGTGTATCTTCAAGGTTCTCCTTGGACTTGCGATATTTCTGTGACAGCAATTTACAGATTAATGAAATTAAATAATAATATAATCACGTCTGGTAGTAATTWATCGCAATGCAAATGAAAGTGACTGGTAATGATCATGGTATAACCTCTTGATAAAGAAGATGACATCTGATAATTTAATGACAAGGTGATCATACTGTAACAACAATGTAGGTTATGATAGGTAGCCTACCATAAGGATCCCAAAAGTCATATTACATGCAAGCTGGAAATGTGAAGGCCAAAGAATCATATAATACTAGCATTAAATACAGCAAATGATAATAACAGACTATTATGGTATACCTCAGACTCCTGCTTACTGTGTTCCAATTCTTTCTCCATATCAACAAGCTCTTGYTGACTTACATTAGTCACAATTGACGAATGCATCCTCCCTTTGGCCACATTATTTCCACCTCCACTCATGCATCCTGAYAATTCAATTAGTGCTCCCTGCAATGTTACAACCCGCCACCTTTGGYTTCCCTGTAAACCAATTTTAGTAGCAATGTCGAGGTTGTCTGCAACAAGTGTGTTCCTCAAGGCAYAGTAGAATGCTGGAGCTATTTTAGGATCTTCCACACGTACTAAATCATACAATCGAGGGACATTGTCTGGGGTCTGTATYGGGAYAGAAGCTTGTTTTTTCCACTGATCCATCTTATCAAGACAAATTAAGGTGACCATTCCAAGCTTTTGATCCTTAACATACCGTAAACATTTTTGAGCTGTTTCTATGGTATCACAAACTATGTTATCTAGAGCTCCACAGCATGTACTGATTGCAATATCATATTTATCATCAATGGCACCAAGATCACCCTGTCAAGAAGGAATATAGAAAAATTGTTTACACAAAGACACAACGCTACAGTTGAGGGAAAAAATAGAAACTGTGGGTGAAGAATAGCCTGTGTACTGACCAAAAATTTTGGCCTGTACACAGGCTAGGTGAAGAACATCAGTCAAAATGAGCATAACTTTCCAATAGCATTGCTACTTGTCCCTGCATTTGAGACTATTCTAATCAAATGGGCTTACCAGTCTGCCATATATTCCTTGGATATTGCCTAACTCCTTCTGTTTCATCAAAGCCTTTAGAATAACTCCTCTGGTAATAAAAGAYGGATATTGAGTTTACATTTATTTACGTAGGAATGTCTAATAATAGCAGATACAGTAATATTACTTGACGTTATCCACAATTCAATAATACCATGAAATTATCTAAAGTCAGAATAATATACCAACRCAGTTACAGAGCATATGGGGGAAACAAACAGGTGGCAATGCATGGTGTAATGTATAGAAACTTTCTATCTACTGTATCCAACTACTTCAATCAATGCATTGCATTCCTATAACAACCAGGTTATTTGAATATTAGATGAAATTATTAGTAATTATCATTTTGCACTATTTTGATTTATGCTATTTATTTTGTTTTCATTTGTTCAACTAGCACTATTTTGCAAAATTAAAAAATATAGTAATTAGCATTTCATACTTTAACAGATCAAAGCACTCTCAACTGACTGAGTAACATAAGTAAACATTAGAAATCTTTACATACAAAGGAAAACARAAAGAAATCAAATCAGGCATATTAATACAATTAAGGYRTAATGATGAGGATGAGTTCACAAACCTATTGCGAGATGCTTCAAGTGAGCTCTTTGCCATTACCAGGTTCCTTTCAAGTGACCTCATCTGATAAACACAAAAGATTCACACATAAAATAACCTGCAGAACAATCAAGAACGATTACATGTATAGTGTACCTCTTGTGTGGATTTCTCCTCTTTCTGAATTGCTTTTTCAAGCTCTTTTTCAGTGTTAGCATATGATTTTTTTGCTGCCGGTATTTCTTCTTCTAATGACTTAATTTCACTAGAAAAAACAATGATGATAATAATAATTTAATAATAATAATAATAATAATTTAATATTAATATTTAATAAAATCAAACCAAACAATATTATCATAATATTATTATAGACCAACATAACACAGAAAGTCAGTTGTCGGCTTGTTTTCACAAAATAATATTAATTAGGTTTCTTTAGAAACAGCAACACAGCTCACATTAGTTTACCTCTAGTTTTCATCATAGAAATCTCCTTACTGTCTATATACTAAACCTGCTAAGTCTATTTATATTCCTTACCTATTCCTTTGCTGAAATTTTTGCGTAGCTGATTCMAGTTTATTCCTCACWTCTCTAAGCTGGGACATTGTACTTTCATATCGGCTTTTGTACACTTCAAGCTCACTTTGAGCAACATCCATCTTACAAAAGAGCATTAAATGCATACTTTAAGTTAATACTGGAAATACAAGACAGCAAGTGCAACTGCCAAATTCTCTGACATTCCAGTTAATTGTTTTGTTTTACCAATTTGATGATAGTGCATGCAACCTTTGCAAGAAGTCAATAATGAAACAATGACAACAAAAGCAACTTCTACAATATTAGAAGGACTTATGAGGACTTTCCATATGCAGTTTTATTGACCTGTACAAAGCATTGTATCAAGGTGTCAAGGAACAATGACCACAGAATTTTTCTTTTATATTTATTTTACTGTCAGTACTTTGACGCCTCAGCTCAATGCTTTGTTCGTGGTCACCAAACCAGAGTATACTAGAATATCATGAATTATATACCTTTGACTTGGCATCATTAGCAACTTTCTTTTTGTCCATTAATTCTGTTTCTCTTTCCTTTAAAAAAAGAAAGAAATAGAAGGTCAAAAGAACTGCCCTTTTAAACTTCAATAACACTAACAAACATACACTTCACAAGGATCACAAGCAATCTACAGGGGCCACTCCTTAACAATACCACTGGTCTAAGTTATCATCTATACTGTACACTTGAGAATAAAAATGATTTAACAAAGGATGACGAGTTGAATGAAAATACAATTTATTAGGAAATAAATAAGAAACGGTAAAAACAACAAAACAAACAAAAAAATTCAGAACTATAATGCTTACTTCTTTTTCAACTTGAAGTCCTTGAGTTTCAGTTTTAAGACCTACAGTACAAAAGAGGAAGGTGAGAATCAAAATATTTATACATAATTAATAAAATAATTACACATTGAAAAAAAAACTGATAATACCTTCCATTACTTCAGCAAGTTTATCTTCCTCTTTCACTTTCTGAGCCTTCAAATCAAACAAGCTTATTAAAGGAGTTGATGAGAGAGAAGATACCTTTATAAAGTAGAGGTAACTTGTTTTCTTTTGTCCTTATGCAACACAACACCACTTTGTAACTAGTATACAATTTCAATACCTCTAATTGCTCTTTTTTGGCAGTCAGTTCAGCAACTCGTTTTTCATTTGCTTCACCATCTTTTTGTAATTTTTCACCCTGAAAAAGAATGAACCATTTGATTAAATGTTGACATTAAGTCGGTTAACTAATTGAAAATTAATTGCTGTTTAATGCTTGTACTCCTTTTGAATCCACAAAACATATACTGTACCATTCATGGAACATCAGGTTGTCATTCTAAAGACACACAGAGATGATCACACTACACCTACATTTACTTACAATGGATTCAGAATGTTCATTCAAGTTGCAAATTATTCTCACCTTGGCTTTTTCTTTTCCCAGACTACTTTTTAGTTTCTTAACATTGTCCTGGGAATAAGCTAGGTCCTACCAATGAAATAATGTGATTAAGTATTGRAAGGGAGACACGTTCACTTAATAACCTTCTGGTTGCTCACAATTGCCATGCACTTTCTTACCTCTCTAAGTTTGACATCTTCTTTTTCAAAATCTAAAAAATTTTTCTTTGTGTTTTCAGCAACTCTCAAAAGTTCATCATATTGCCTGACAAAATGAATATGATCATAAGACTCTTTTCTTTTTGATTTGATGCTAGAAGTTTGCAAGGTAGCTTATCTATTGACAGATAATTCAATAAAACAGAAATTCAAATTGCACAATGAAAATGTGTGAATATTAGCAAAATCCAACATCATAGTTGATAATTATAAAGGCTGATACAAATGAATAATGTTAATTCAATTGATTTAAACTTTCACTACCTTTTTGTCTTATTGTGTTCCTTTTCTTTGGCTTTCTTTTGATCTGAGTTATTACAAAAAATTGTTAATTATTACATGTCAGAAGCCTTCTGTGATGTCTAATAATAATTACAAGCTTCTCCATGTCCACCTAACCTAGCCTGTGTACATCCAGTTTATTTAGCGTGTTTACAGGTAAACGCTGGATGAACTCAGGCTAACCTAACCTGACAAATCATATTTTCTGTCATAGGTGTTATATTATGACATAAAACAATACACAATGACTAGAGTACAGTACTTGTGATTTCTTTCATCTCTTTGTGTATATCTTCAAATCCTGCTTTAACTTCATTGCTCTTCTCTGCAGCTTTCTCCTCATTTTTTAAGCATTCCTCACTGTCTCATAAGAAAGGAATTCTACACTTAAACAATGGAAATTCCAAAACAAACTTCGCCAATATCAATATACAGATTTAGATCAGACAATCACATCTATAAAAGGGTTAGTTTATTACTTACACATATTTTTGATACAAAACATTTTTCTGTTTTGTTATGTTATTTTCCATGTTGATATATTCTACTGCCTCATCTTTGGATCCTTGCAGCTCATTCTTTTCTTTTTCTACTGCTTTTACACGATTCAACTAAATATAAAAGATTAAAGATGGTAAAATCTTTTTTAGGCAATGTCCAATTGACTGATAGATAAATATACATGTATTTATTTTAAGCAACTAGTGTTTTAGGGAAACAACTCTTTAACCTCAGGAAAGTACGCAAATCATAAGGTGAAAATTATTAAATTTTACTAACTATATCAATTTTATACACAAAAACTCTATCATTATAGTTTGAAACATACCTTTTCAGCCCTGACCTCACTGAGTGCCTCTACTTCTTTCGCAAGTTCTTCAATTGGTTCTTTATATTTGTTTGAACCAATGATATCTTCTAAGTATTCCAACATTCCGTCTTCATGCTCTGAAACAGCCTTGGGCTTCATCATAGCAATCTGTTCTACCTCACCCTTTAATAGAATGGATGTATATACATCTGTAAGCTTTATCAAGTAAAGTTCACCATCATTCATAGAACTGAGTTTTGACTGAAACGAGCCAAACTATGTAGGATGTGCGCATCTATTCCAACATYGGACATTACATGGGAATCTCACTTATGATGTCCAATCATGGCCATGTACTGTACATGTACGCGCTGTGGYGCAGCACTTCATTGCCCTTTTATACAGTGAGTTGACCCATAGACTATGGTTTACCTGAAGAATCAAGAACCTATTGTGATCCAAGTCAATTCCAGAAGACCTCAAAAGCGCAGCTACTTCCTTAAATGGTCTCTTGCAGTTATTAATGTAGTAATCAGAGGAATTATCTTTACGGGCTGTACGGGAGATCACAAATTCACTGTTTGGGACTACTTCAAGGTAATCTGGGTCATCTTCTTTCTAGAACAATATAAAAAAATCATTTATGAGCATTGTCCATTGAAAACATCTATCATGATTGTAAATACCAATACATTTAGTTACTCACAAGATAATCTTCCCAGACCTAGACTATTCAAGGGCTCTTAACGTGTGAAATCTGACAACCCTCTATTATCAATGCCAGAAGCAACCTTATGGCTGCAATGGATTTTAATAAACTATCTATCTTCTATTATTACAACATAAAAAGTTGCTGAATGCTTCAATTAATGTGAAAAATTGCAATATAAGTTTGTATATTCATTTCTGAAAAATTGGTTTCCCTTTGAGCTGCCCGAGAAAGCTTATTGTATGTTTTATTTTTCTTCACTCAACATCAAGCAAAACATTCCTATCCATTTGATTTGACTTGTAAATCTCTTGGATGGTAAAATTAAGTTGAATTGAGTGGAAAAAATCAACTTTTAACTTTGAATATTAAAAGTCGTCTAGTAAAATTCTAGCCATCACTGATAAACATACGTACCTCAGCAATTATCTTTTGGAAATGAACGTACACGCTACAGAATGTGCAATTGGGATAGGTAGACGAATTGTGAATTAGTTGAGACACCTTCTTTGTTCGGATCATTTTTGACCGGTAGCCAAACACGAAAAGCATTGCATCGATAACATTGGATTTACCGCTACCATTTGGTCCAACAATCGAGCTAAAAGACTGAAATGAACAGTACAAAACCATGTGAGATTCGTGCAAGAAGAATTGGTCTATTTGTTCAAAATGTTACCTTGTGGAACGGTCCGAGCACTTTAGCTTCAGCATACGACTTGAAATTTTCACATACTATCTTTGAGATCATAAGTCTAGTTCTTCTGCCAGCTTGGACTTCTGCAGCTCCCTGATCTGGGATATTTTCTGTCTCCATTGCTTCGGCCATCTTGTCGTCCTTCGCCTATTCGTTTGGTTTTGGCGCCAGAATCTGTTATTTATTTGATAGCCTCGTCCCCAGGGTCTTGATAATTTGTTTTTACCGGTGGTAGGGAGCGTAACTGTTTTAACAACCTCTCTAATTTTACAATTTGTATTCTATATGCATAAGACCACAGAATTCAACTTTTGATAATGATATAAACATATCTTATAAAGAGAAAAAAAACTTTTTCTTATTGTCCTAAAAGCAACTTTTTCAAAAGATATAAAAGCGCAATCTTTCCCTCCCCCCTAGATTTTTGTTCAACACTATCTCCCAGACTGCTTTGCGAGTACGAAAAAGCATGAAAATGGCGCACGAAAGTTAGTGAGTGTACATTTACATGTTTCCCAAAGGACTTTATTAAGTCGTATGTCTTCATAATCCTTTTGTTATTTGATTAGAACGGTATTTTAGATATTGCGTGGTATTTTTTGGTTCCAGTAACTTCTACAATTTTACAGTGAACCCTGAAAAAGAGAGAAGCACTTTTGACAAAAAATGGGGCTTTGGCAAAGTTATAAAAACCTCAGCAAGAGACAACGTCTGATGCTAGGCCTTATTGGTATAGGAATTGGACTTTCTGGTCCTACAGTTATGTCATGGGTCTTGGAAGGAAGGAATAACATTGATCAAGGACAAAATGGGTCTCATCAAGAAAATGAAAAAAAGGATGGTTATAAAATGGATAAATATCAATGATAAATTTGATGTGCAAAGAACAAGTCTGGAAATTTTGTACAATGGCCTGAGTATGAGACCTCTGGGTACAGGGATAATTGATCATGAGAAGACAAGTACAATGATGAAGTTTTTAATATATAACTGGCTTGAGATTGACAATATATAACTGTGGCAGGAGGTTGTAATCCCCATACAACATAGCTGCTCATGTTGTATGTAAACTATACAGGTGATTGCTAAAAGGTTGTGGCAGGAGGTTGTAATCCCCATACAACATAGCTGCTCATGTTGTATGTAAACTATACAGGTGATTGCTAAAAGGTTGTG